TCTAGGTTGATTTTTTTTTCATATTGTTCCTGTGTGAAATAAGTAAATCTTGCAATTTGTTACCCATGTATGTTGTATTTTACCGTTCTTCTTCAGCTGCCTTGCCTTCCTCGCGATGTCTGCATTTTTTCGTGTCAGATGCTCATTAATGAAAAGTTGGGCTTGTGAATCATGATTCACGAGTCAGTAAAGTGATTCTCGAGTATTGAACGATTCGTTCACGAATCAAACATCACTAGTGGAGAGTGTTCTATGCTCTATGCAAATGCAGGAAGAGGGCCACCTGTATCATGAAGGAGCCCACTCACCCAGTACGCCCACTCTGTGTCCCGCTCCTCTCAGGCAGGAGGCTGAGGAGCTTTAAATGCAAAACTACCAGACTGAGAAACAGCTTTATTTCAGAAGCTGTGAGACTTCTTAATGCATAATGGACAAGAACTGTTATTATAGCTCCTTAATCACTACTGACACTTTCTGACATCGACACCTTATCAATGCTGGTCATTATTCCCTTTTGCTGCTAAAGTATTTATACCTATACTCCATACTAGTACTCAGGTTGTTGCACTCTATTTATTTGTATTACTTTATTACTTGTTATTCGGTTTTATATTGTTATTGTTATTTTATTGTTATTCATTGTTTTCTGTTATTATTTTTGTTTTAATCTGTTTTTTTTAAAAATTCTGTTTCTTTTCGCTCAGGAACCGTGTGTACGTAGTTTTGTTCTACCTCATGTAAACATGTGATGCGAATGACAATACAGCTTCCTTGAATCATTGAATCGTTGAACAAATATGGTTATGAAATAATTCAAGCATTTAAAGTGGATCATACAGGTGAGGTATCATCAAAATATACAGCAGACTTACAGTAAAACAGCCACTGTAGGCTTCAAAAAATAATAACACAACTCAAAAATATTTCATACATAAGATAGATGGATAATAACACGTATCTATAAAATGTTTCTCAGATGTATTATTATTTATAATAAGTCACATTTGTTTTGAGTGATTGTTAACTGAATATTTTAAAATGTAGGTATTGACTTTTCAAATTTTTGTAATTCTTTTATGATAATTCTTCTTAATAAAAAGAACAAGTAGTCTGACTCACACTAAAATGGATTAATACTCAGGTTTTTCCCCTTACTGTTTCACAAAGTGTTAAAAAGGGAATGTCCACAACTTAGACTTCTTTAATGGAGGATATTTTATTAAAGCAATTTAGCCAGAGAAAAACAAGAACAGAATCAAATAATAATCACCTATTGTAGGGCTGCACGATTAATCGTTAGAAAATCGCGATCTCATTCATACTTATGTGCGATCTCATTTCCAAATGACAACGATTTTAAAAAAAAAAAAAAAAGACGACGATTGTACCGCATTTTGATCCGGGACGTAATCTGCATGAAAACAAGCGCTCACTCTTCCTGCTCAACAAATGACAAGGGCGGAGCCTTATACCACGTGATACAGAAGCTGTGCGTGATGCTAAAATTAGCAGGGAAAAAACAACGGAGAGCACGTCAGGGATGACGAGAAAGTGACAGGAGAAAATCCGTCCCGGTCAACCACCCAAACATCAATAACGGGAACCTTATACAGCGCTTCCCTATACCCGTCGAACTCCCGCAGGCACAAAGAAATTACGGAGGCTATCACTTATCACCTGACCAAAGATATGGCTCCCATCAACACTGTGCAAAACGAGGGATTTAGGAAAATGATCAACACCCTAGACAAACGCTACACAGTGCCGTCCCGCAACTATTTTTCTATTGTTGCACTACCTGCTCTATACACGCAGTGTCGAGCAACGGTGGAGACGGAATTTCAAGCAGTACAACATTTTGCGGCAACAACAAAACGTGAGACATTTGTTGTTTTTATGTTTATTTATTGTTTTTATGTTCAGTCTCAACTGTTACGAAGTTGATGTGCAGTTAATAAGTGCAATAAATATTTATACTGGAAAAGAAAATCGTGAGAGAATCGTGATCTCAATTCTAAGCCAAAAAATCGTGATTCTCATTTTATGCAAAATCGTGCAGCCCTAACCTATTGTGACATCAAATTTACCTTACTGACAACAACCGATCCCCAGCTACACCTTATCATCTTTTCTCTATCTGACTTTTCCACATACGTAGTTTAAAACAATAAAATCACTTAATTACATTTTGTTCTCTTCTATGTCATTCTTAACATAAAAAATTCTGTTCCATATGAACAATCAGTCACAGATGAATACTGTATACTTCACATTAGCTCATTCTCACATGAACATCTATTTTCACATAATCTCTCATTAATTCAAATACAGAAGAATATCATCATTTAAATGATATCGTCTTATCCGATATATATGAAAAACTTATACCTGATGATATTCTGATCAGTATGAAGCAATTAAGCAGAATTAACTGTCAGCAAAATCACATATGAATAATGTTTCTTTGGTGAACGAGTACATCATACTTAATACCATTTCTCTTATTAGGAATCATATATAATATTGAATTGGTGACACATTTCTCTGCTACGGTCGAAGCTGGATCATGTCTATGCACAGAAAATCTAGACATTAACATAATTTTCATTAGTCAACCCTCATTTCTCATTCACCATATCAAGTAAACATAACTTAATTATATTTATGATTAAGAAAAAAGATGATTCACTATCACCAAATGCACATACTCAAAAACACACAAAACGCTGGATGTTAAGACCTTTTACCGTCTTACAGATGTGATGACAGGTAATCCAGGGAAACATCAATGTCTCTCCATGCCACTTCTCTTGACAATGTTTGTGTTTATGATGTTCATTTATTACACTAAAGCCACTGAACAGAGTTACTGTGGTGGCATCTAATAGTTGTGCTTTCTCCAAAATATCCTGTAATTGTCTGATGATCCACATAGAGACTGGTGGTACCTTTAATGAAAATAAACAAATAAATACAAATTAAATCAATTAAGAATAAATAAATACATAAATAAAATCAAAATAAATAGAGTAATAAGTGGAAAATGTATTGAAAAGTCAGTCTTCGCATTTATTCCATATTCTGAAGAAAAAGAGCATATTCAGCCTTTAAAAAATAAAATAAAACTTTGTTTTGTGCTTTGTCATTAAAAAAAATTATAGTTATTTAAAATATTTACAAAAATGAGCACTAACCAGTGGTATTCTTGAAATTAACACTCCCGGGTTAGGGTGAAGCAACAGTCCAAGTAAGTTGAACGCTGTGACACTGAATTAGATGTCAGAGCTTGCAAAGTTTGTCAACAAGTTGAGCATAGACACACACACACACACACATACACACCCTGCCCTTCTTTGCACTGGATAAAGCCTGCCCCCTTGTGTGTGAATCAACATTGAACATTGAATGAGTAGCCAAGCAACATATTAAAAAAAATTATTTTTATCATTTTCTTTTTATGATATGCATAAATGTACCTATCAGCTAGTGAGTGTGATATTCAATAAAAGTATTAGATTTGTTGAAGCGGATGCTGGTTACAGAAACTGTAACTGTGGAAAAATTCGAGACAACTGTTGTTCTGAGGGTTTGGAGAGATTCTCCCTATGTGGCATAAATATTAGCTCGAGGTCTAAATATTAGTTTTACATGCTTGTGTGCAAACGTTTTGAGTCACTGCTTATTTCTCTGTATTTTGCTTCCAGACTTTTTTTTTTTTAATGATCTTGAGTACTTCAGGCCTTTTGAAGGTCGTTTTAATATTTTCTTTGGATATTGGTGCTTTTCTTTTTTTTTTTTTCAACCACATGTATCCATAAATCTTTAATGATAAAGAAGACAACATATATGAGATTATACATGTGTAAAAAATGACAAAAAATCAATTATTTATCCTTCCAGTTTTGTATGCTTTAACAGGTAGTGAGAATAAATTAAGTCTAATTACACACCCATAAAAACAGCTTAGCAATGAATGTCTTATCAATGAATATCATCCCATGTTAGCTTATCTGTAATTATAATACCAGAACTGGTAAATAGTAAATGCTCCATCAGTCACAAATGAAAATTTGAGTTCTTGTTTAAAAACCAAAATTTTAGAGGCGACAGAGAGAACATTCATCATTCTAAAGGAATGAAAAAAGAATGAAACAATCAACTATTTCCCTGCTCATCTATATATTCACATTTTTTCCCTTAAGCATCATCTGTTTACATTAGGTAATGATTTGTTTTCTGAAAAAGCAATGTGACCAATGTACACGAGGACATAAAGACAGTCCATATGATAAAAAAAGAAAAAAAAACTTTAACACAATAAAAGCAGTAAGTTATCAAACGCAAACATGTCAACAAGACGGGACAAAATATTGCAACTATGCACTGGTTTTTGCTGGTGTTCCAACGTTTTTTTTCCACAAAGTTTAGGAATGTGTTTATGGCACACACAAAACAAACTGAATGGCAGAAAACAGTGTCCATAAATCTAAACACACACACAATTACAAGGAAAACAGGAATCAGAATCAGAATCAGAATGGGGTTTATTGCCAAATGTTGAGCAGGTTTACAACATTAGGAAATTGCTGCGGTGCTTCAGTGCAAACATGGTGTCATAAATAACACTTAAATAGACATGGAAAAAATAAAAGTAGGGATAAGAATTAAAAGTGCTACGTGGAAAGATATGTGCATGAGATATACATGAGATATATACATGAGAGTAAGAATTAAGAGTGCTACGTTGAAAGATATATACATGAGTGCAGGTGGTGATCAGTGCCAAACATGGAATGATACAGTGAACACAGCGTAGGGTCATGTGTTAGTGGTGGGAACAGTCATATGGTTATTGTTCATGTGTCCAACAGCAGAGGGGAAGAAACTGTTCTTATGGCGAGAGGTTCTGGTGCGAATGGACCGGAGCCTCCTGAAGTAAATAAAATGGGACAGAGACTTAGCAAGACATGGAAACAGAGGAAGGGCTTGGATGAACAGGAAGAAAGGAATTAATCAAGACTAGTTTATCAAAGATAAACTAGTCTTACAACATAATGAACTAAATTAAAGCAAAAACTCTAAACAAGGCAAACAAGACACAAAAAACATGATCCATGAGAAATAAGAAACAAAAATTATACTTAAACCCAAGAAAACTCAGAACCCTGGTCAGAAAAATAGAAACCCATGCCTTGAAGCTCCTGGCAAAAGGTTTTTGGTGATGTCAGAGCAGGCTTGGAGTTTTAAGTCAACAAAACATTGACAATACACTATATCCCTCAGCACTCAGCAATCTTCCTCTGTAACTTTACATGTACTACCAATGCATTGCTGAGATGCTGTGGTTCCAAAATCTTTCCATGTTGCAATAACATAACTTAGAGTTGATTGTGGAAGATCGAGGCGAGAAGAAATTTCACAAACGGACTTGTTGCAACAGTCAGTTACAGTCCTGTTACAATGCCATTACTGGACCAGTTCAGTGAGCTCTTTGGAGAATGCAAATCTTTCGAAAATGGAGGAAAACTGAATGGCTCGGTGATTGATCTGCTGACAGTAAAAGAAAACATTGCAGCATATATCCTGCAAAAACACCAGTAAAAGGTAGATATAAAAATGATAGAAAGGCCAAAAGTTCTAATATTTAAAGATTTCAGTAGTGATTGGCTAATGTACTGCATGTAACTTCTGTGTCTTTTGCCTCACCCTGAGAACAGAAACAAATATGACGATTAGAAAGAAAAAGCAAAGACCAAGGTGACCAAAATTAAAGCGAATCATGTCTTATGAGGACAATGAGCTAAATTATTTGAAAAGAGAGAAACAGTATGTGAGAAATCGTGTGTGTTTGGTTTCAGGTCTTTTAATATTTACCCTCTTGTTTCTTTATGGTAACAACTGAACAAACAAAAGGAGTGGAAACAGAACACTTTACAGTCGTGTCATTCTTTAAGAAAAAAAAAGTTAAAGTCTGCTTATACTCAAATACAAATGTATAGTTGTAGTATGTTAGGGTTACCTCGGGTGATTTTCTTCTAATCAGAATCAGAATCAGAATACTTTATTGATCCCTGGGCGTAACAACTGAACTGTAC